TTTTTAATGAGGATCTTTTCACATTGCATCTGATTTTAATTGGCATGTCTATTGTTTCCTGGACACAAGTATGAAACAAACCTAACATAGCTAATAAAATACCAAGGGAGCTGTTGCGGAGTGATCAAACTATTATTACTTTTCTTGAGTAACCGAAATACCAACTTTACTTTACTCTGTAGTAAAAGGGCAAGAACAGAAAAGACCAGAGAAGATTCTGAGACATTTTAAGGATCAGCCTTGCTATTCAAATCAACTTGCTAAAAAAATGTCTAAAGGCCCTTTTATAAATTGTTTGCCAGTTTACAAAACTATAACCTTGAACTTTATCTACCAGGTTTACTCTGTTGTTTCTATGTATTCAGAGCCAACGGTGAATTTTTCTGTGTGTCAGAGTGCTTTCGATCTCTAATTACACTCATTCCTTGTACACCCCCTAAAGTGCGTGTGCAGTTGGGTTAGTGGTGGTTATTTATTCTACTTTCAAATGTTTCAGTGCTACAAACTCTGCAAGGGAAAAAAATAAAAAAAAATTTAGAAAGAGAAGAAAAAGAATACTATAAAAAATAAAAATGTATTCAGGTAATATGGCTTCTGGTGTGCTTATGTTCAACACTTCTGTGTAAATGGCAGGGAAAATGGTGACTTTCGCCATTGAGTCAATGATTTTAACCAAGTCTCCTAGTACTCTTGCCAAACTTCCAGGTACCCGATGCTTTTTTTTTTTGTGCTTTGAGGTAGTAAAACAAAACCTTTAGAATGCAGTGGGTCAATCCTAGCAACCTTGGAAGCTGAGGCAGGCAGCGTTTGCCTCGGAGGTCAGAGAGTTCGAAACCAGCCTGAGCAAGGACGGCGAGACCCCCGTTCTACCTATAAATGAAAGCAATTATTAGAACTAATATATAGAAAAAATACCGGCATGGTGGTGCATGCCTGTAGTCCCAGCTACCTCGGTAGGCTGGAAAGAAGGATTGCTATTGAGTCCAGGAGTTTTGAGGGTTGCTGTGAGGCTAGGCTGACGTCACAGCACCATCTCTAGCTGGGGCAAAAAGTGAGACTATGTCTCAAAAAAAAAAAAAAAAAAAAAAAGAATGCAGTGGGTCTATTGGAGGAGTAGGGGCCTGAGAAAGAGGAAGCTAATGGGCAAAAGAAATTCTAAAAATTAATAAAATATAAATAAATAAAACATTGAGGCCGACCTTCTGCCATAATTTTATGAAAATAGATACTGATATTATAAATTTTTACCTTGAAAGTTTACCACCTCCCCTCTTCCTCCACCCTTTAAAACACGTAATAACATCCTTGATCTAGCATGAAAACTAAAAACATGCTTAGCAAGAAAAGTATTTATAAATGAAGAGTTAGGGATAGTCCCAGTAACCATCAACCTACTTTTAGAGACAAGTCCTATTGGGTCAAAATACATAGAAGCCAGAAGAGGCAACCAGCCCTATACTTCTTCACTCACAGACAGGTGTTCTCAACCTCACTTCATCTCCCAAGTCCATAAGTTCATTTTTTTGTAGCTTTTGAATTCATTCTTTATATTCTTTTTTTTTTTTTTTGAGACAGAGTCTCACTTTGTTGCCTAGGCTAGAGTGAGTGCCGTGGCGTCAGCCTAGCTCACAGCAACCTCAAACTCCTGAGGCTCAAAGCGATCCTTCTGTTCTCAGCCTCCCAAGTAGCTGGGACTACAGGCATGAGCCACCATGCCCGTAATTTTTCTAATATATATTAGTTGGCCAATTAGTTTCTTTCTATTTATAGTAGAGACGGGGTCTCGCTCTTGCTCAGGCTGGTTTCGAACTCCCGACCTCGAGCAATCCACCCGCCTCAGCCTCCCAGAGAGCTAGGATTACAGGCGTGAGCCACCGCGCCCGGCCCCATTCTTTATATTCTTTAGTCATTAATTTTGTTCTCACACACAGTCCTTCACATTGCTTTTGTTGCTCCTATCTTGACCTGGCTGGCAGTGCAGTTGTTGTGTACTTCCTTCCTTCCCTGTTTTGCAACCTCCATGAGAAACATGCACTTGTTATTCCCAGCGGCAGAACAAGGTGTATAGGTGGCAGGTGTTAAAGACAATTACTGAATTGAAAACAGGTCCACAAGAATCCTTCTTTTCTGATGACACATAGTATCGGTAAAGGAAGAGAAACAATTCATGATCAACATTAGTGCCATGACTGGCAGAATGGCGTTCGTTACACACATTGTATTTTAGAGCTGCCGCCATTATTGAGAGGCATAACTAAACCTTGCCAATCAGAGAACTCCATCCTCCTGGCCTCAGGGATGACAGTGACTGAAAAAAGGCTAATCAGAATCTTTTTGATATGTAAGCTTTGGGAAAGGAAACTTCATTTTCTGAATCCTGGGCTGGAAAGATCAATGCAGCTTGGAGAACGTGGATGGCCATCTTGCCTCACCAGAAGCTATATCGAGAATAAAGCCAACATACCAACAGATAAGACAGAGCATACAAGAGCCCTGCTATCTTCTCAGTCCCTACACATCATGCCATGCCTAAAGCTAGATGCAGCCTGGAGCCTTATGTGAACCAGTGAATTCCTCTTTTTGCTTAAACTAGTTTAAACTGGGTCTCTATGATTGCTATAACTTGCATAAAAGTCCTAACAGATCATCCTACCAGCCAACTGCTACCACACAATGATCTCATTTGGCACTGTAAGGAGTCAGTCTACCTTCAAAGCTCTGCATTGCGGCAACATTCGACTTCCTTGATTTATAAAGGTTAAATCACCCTGAGTATGGACAGGATAACAGGGAGTGTACCTAATAGGGCTCTCCCAAACTCAGTAAGGGTGGAGAGGCAACCATCTTCAGCTAAATTCTGGTGTCCCCTGATGCAGGATTAATTCTAATTAGCAGACTGCTTGAAATTCTAAGGTATAGGACATTATCGTAAGCAAAAGGAGCCAGACATGCATATGATTCCATTTTCTATAAAGTCTAGTAACAGGCTAAACTAATAGGTGGTAACAGATATCAAAATAGGGTTTACCTCGGGGGGAGGGGGGTATGGTGGAGAAAGGGCACATGGGGAACCTTTTGGGGTGCTCGAAACATCTATATGTTGGTGGGGGGGTGGGGGTTCATAAGTGTTCACATACGTGAAAACTCATCAAGCTATATATTAAAGATTAATGCTCTTTTTACTGAATGTATGTCATGTTTGGGGAGGAAAAAAATCTTAATACTGAGTTATCCCAACCTTAACATAGACTTTTAGATACACTGTTCTCCATCTAATTCCTACTCTACCCAATACAGTGCGGCAAAGAAGAGAGGTGCTTATAGGTTACTAAGCACCTTCAAGAAAGCCTTAGGAAAGAGGTTTTGACTTGTGTGTTCTTATTTGCATCCAAGGGGATGTCCTCTACTTCCTCCACAGCATTCAGTATATCTGCTGTGAACAACACCTGACAATTTCTGTTACTCCCCAGAGGCTGTAAAATCCTTCTATCATTACCAGGCTCTGTGGCAGATTTTGTTACATTCATATCTCTTAGTACGGTTCCCATCCAATTTTTCATCCAGGTTCTAAAATTAAGCATCGTATTTGCATTTTGTAGAGACCTTCAAAAAAAGTTCTGGGTCACCGGGCACGGTGGCTCACGCCTGTAATTCTAGCACTCTGGGAGGCTGAGGTGGGCGGATTGCTCAAGGTCAGGAGTTCAAAACCAGCCTGAGCGAGACCTCATCTCTACTATAAAAAAAATAGAAAGAAATTAATTGGCCAACTAATATATATAGAAAACATTATCCGGGCATGCATGCCTGTAGTCCCAGCTACTCGGGAGGCTGAGGCAGGAGGATTGCTTGAGCCCAGGAGTTTGAGGTTGCTGTGAGCTAGGCTGACGCCATGGCACTCACTCTAGCCCAGGCAACAAAGCGAGACTCTGTCCAAAAAAAAAAAAAAAAAGTTCTGGGTATAGGTTGGTAGTATGAACTGGTACAATTTTTATGGAATACAATTTTACTACACTTATCAAAATTAAAAAATGTACATTTCCTTTAGCCCAGCAATTCTGCTAATAGTATTTATCCTCCAGATACATTCACATATGTGCAAAGTGATAAATGTGTAAGGTTATTCCCTGGAGCAGTTTGTAAGAACAAAACATTGGGGAAAGTGTACATCAATATGGGATTAATACAACAAATTATAGTATATCCATTTGATACAATATTATGCAGCAATAAAACAGAACCGGTAAACTCTTGATATAGACAATCTCCAAGATACACTGCTAACGATGCATTTAGAATGATAGTATTTTAAGGGAAAAACAACCAAATATACACATTTGGCCAGCATATTTATTTTGGAATCTCTGGAGGCATAGAAAAGAAATTGGTAACATTAGCTGCTTCTGAGTAGAGGAACTAGGTAGCTGGTAGATTTTGTCCCTTTTAAATTTTACACTGTATAAATGCACTGGCTTTGAGAATAAGATTATTACTTAAGATTTTTTTTTTTTTTTTGAGACAGAGTCTCACTTTGTTGCCCAGGCTAGAGTGAGTGCCATGGCATCAGCCTAGCTCATAGCAACCTCAAACTCCTGGGCTCAAGCAATCCTCCTGCCTCAGTCTCCCAAGTTGCTGGGACTACAGGCATGCGCCACCATGCCCGGCTAATTTTTTCTATATATATTAGTTGGCCAATTAATTTCTTTCTATTTATAGTAGAGACAGGGTCTTGCTCTTGCTCAGGCTGGTTTTGAACTCCTGACCTCGAGCAATCCTCCTGTCTCAGCCTCCCAGAAAGCTAGGATTACAGGTGTGAGCCACCACGCCCGGCCTAAGTTAAGATTTTTAAATCATTCCAAATGAATTTTTCAAACTATCTTGGTTTTCATGAAAAGGGACAACACCTGGGGATGCTGTGTAATTACGAGGGCCTTACAATTCAGAGGCACAGTTGGTCACCAGATGCAGCATGGATATTTATTTTGTATGTGTGAAAGTCCTGCAAATCATAGCTTAAAACTTTTAGAAGGATTGTATGGTCTCCTTGGTCCTAACAACCTTTGTACCTCACTCAAGTGCTTTGGTTTTTGTCAAAATCCAAAGAGAAGAAAGGACAAAAGAGAAAAATATGCTTTTCCCAAATCATTCACATCTGAAATCAACAGCAAGGTTGATTTTGAAGACCAATAAAAAATGTATGTGGGGGTGCGAGGTGGGTAAGGCAGACCACCAGTCTTCCTCTAAATTCCATTCCAGGGTAAGAATAAAGCCTATTGTCTTTAAACTAATTCCACAATTAAGTCAGCTCCAGTGTCATACTTTGGGTTTCCAGGCCCAAACTACGGTGCACTTAGAGTGGATCTCTATATAACCTGACCCACTAAATGGAGTGGAGGGTTGGGGATAAAACTTTGAAATAACAAAGAAAGCTTCCCAGTAAGATACACCTTTAACTTAGAACATTCAAACTAGCTGAAAGGAGGTTTTACGGGGTTTGTTTAGTCTCCAAAGGAATTTGGAGTTCTAGAATTACAGTCATGCAGTCACGACATTCCAGTCAACTATGGACCAGTAAAAGTATAGCACATGCAATTGTGTACAGTGTATAATACTTGATAGTGACAATATACAACTATGTTACTGGTTTATTTACTGTACTATACTTTTTATCATTATTTGAGAGTGTACTCCACTTATTTTTTTTAAAAAGTTAACAGCCTGAGGCAGGTCCCTCAGGAGGTATTCCAGAAGTCACTGTTAATCATAGGAGATGACAGCTCCATGTGCATTATTACCCCTGAAAACTTTCCAGTAGGACAAGATGTGGAGGTAGAAGGCAGATATTAATAATCTTGACCCTATGTAGGCCTAGGCAAATGTGTGTGTTTATTATATCTTAGTTTTTAACAAAAAAGTTTAAGAAGTAAAAAAGAAAAAATTAAATGTCAAAAATAGAGAAAAGCTTGTAGAATAATAATATAAAGAAAATATTTCTGAGCCAGGTGTCAAGGCGTGCACACCTGTAGTCCCCGCTACTCAAGAGGCTAAGGCAGAATGATTGCTTGAGCCCAGGAGTTTGATGTTGCAGTGAGTTATGATGGCACCACTGCACTCTAGCCCAGGCAACAGAGCCCTATCTCAAGAAAAACAAAAAAAGCTTCTATACAATTACACAATGTGTTTGTGTTTTAAGCTAAGTATTATTACAAGAGTTAAAAAGTTAAAGTTACAGCAAGCTAAAGTTAATTTATTGCTGAAGAACAAAAGAAATGTTTAATAAATTTAGTGTAATCTAAGTGCACAGTGTATATAGCGTCTACAGTAACGTCTAGGCCTTCACATCCACTCACCACTGACTCAACTCATCCAAAACAACTTCCACTTCTGCAAGCTTCAGTCATGGTAAGTGCCCTACACAGGTGTACTACAATTTCTTATCTTTTATACCATACCTTTTCTAGTTTTATGTTATTTTATGTTTTTAAGTTTTTTGGGTTTTTTTTTTGAGACAGAATCTCACTCTGTTGCCCGGGCTCGAGTGCCGTGGCATCAGCCTAGTTCACAGCAACTTCAAACTCCTGGGCTCAAGCGATCTTCTTGCCTCAGCCTCCCAAGTAGCTGGGGCTACAGGCATGCACCACCATGCCCGGCTAATTTTTTCTATATATTTTAGTTGGCCAATTAATTTTTTTCTTTCTATTTTTAGTAAAGACGGGGTCTCGCTCTTGCTCATGGTGGTTTCGAACTCCTGAGCTCAAATAATCCGCCCGCCTCAGCCTCCCAGAGTGCTCATGCCTGGCCTCTTTTCTATTTTTAGATACACAAATATTGACCACTGTGTTACAATTCCCTACAGTATTCCGTACGGTCACGTGCTGTACAAGTGTATAGCCTAGAAGCAATAGGCTTCTAGGCCTCTTCATACAGGCTAGGTGTACAGTAGGTTACACCATCTGAGTTTGTGTAAGGACCATCTTGAGGACCATATAAGGATCATGATGTTCACACAAGGATGAAATTGCCTAATGACTCATTTCTCAGAATATATCCCCATCATTAAGCGACACACGACTGTACACACAGGAACAGTAATTTATCATCCTTAGGCAAAAATTACATCAAAGTCCATAGCAATATCTCCAACATCTTTCTCTCACCACCAGTCATTAGGTTGAATTAGAATAATGCTTTAGGGTAAATGTTTTCACTACAGTGATACCATTTCGGTAACTCACCTACCCTAGGTCAAACACTCACACTGAGGTTTCGCATTTCCCATGATCGGAGGACCTAACACAGGAAATGAGATACTAGAATTCCTGAATTCAAATGAAGTCTTCTGGTTTAGTAGAAATGTATATGGATAGGGTCAATCAATGTGCAATCTCTCTCCCTTCTATTCATGAGATCTAATAATAATAGCAAAAGGAGAGATTGAGCACAGGACTGACCTCTGCTCAGTAACTTCCTTTCATCCCCACCTAAACTTCAAAACCACAAACAGGAAAGGAGCCTGCAGAACCACATTTCCTAGAGGCTAGAACCCAACCCAGACTTTCAAGTAAGCAGTGAATGAAGTATTTTCGACTTAGAAGGAAAAGAGGACCCCACCCTCCTCATCCTGGTCTTCCAAGTAGTCCTAGGCCTTCATAACACAAAGATCAGCCTCCAGCTTTTGTGGGCACTGTTGGATATTTTAAAGGAAAATGGCACAAAACTACTGGTTTTAAATATGCACAAATATTCATTTTTTGATCCAGTCTACCAAACTAAGAGATGCTACTTACGGTGTGGATTTATAGGAAGACTCTGGATAAGACCGCCTGCCATTCACTTTGCCAATGGAAGAGTATACCAGGGAGCCATCAACTCTCTCCGCATAGTCAGAGGGGGGTGGGGGCATGTCTTGTGTGCCTGCAGACACATTTTTAACCTATAAAAAAGCCCCAAGAGACAGAGTTATTATTTATCCTGTAATTTGCAGAGGGAAGAAATTTTTTCAAATTATATAAATTATCTAATATTTATTTGGCTCACTAAATATTATTAATACTACTAATAAAAAGGTAATCATTTCAGGTTAACAGTCAAATCATTATTTCCACAAACATATGAGCAGTGCTACTGTTAGTTTAATAAGACCAGAATGTATTACCAAGAAGGAAAAATCACCCTAATGTTTTTAGATGGGATAATTATCTATGGTGGTTGTCCCACCCCATCCCCACATTAGGAAGACCAGTCTCATTTAATCTACGATAGGTCTGGTTCCAGAATTTTCACTTCTAACAAGCTCTCAGGTAATGCTAAAATTGCTGTCCCTCCACTACCCTTGGAAAACCACTAATCTAGGACAAAGCATATTGGTTCTTAATCCATTCACCCCTAAACATGGAATGTTAAAACCACAGAAGAAATTAAGAAGCTCAAATTGACTTCTCCTATAGTTCTTTTAATGAGAGATTTGTTTATTCTCCCTGAATGTACATTCTCAGTGGCTCCATTATTAACAGTCTACACAGTATGTGGCAACATCACTACCTTCCCTTTTTACTTTCCTCCCATTCCATTCTTATATGTAAGTGAATTCACACCCTACCGGAGTATGCTTTAGTAATTATGTCTTGTTAATTAAAAAATTTATATATCAATACTTATCTGAGGAATTCAAGCCCTTTTAAATTACCAGGCCCAGAAAGGCATTAAAATGAGACAGCAATCACGTCCTATTTCCCCTCCAGAGCTACAGTAATCATCTCTTGAAACTACTTAACCTAAAAATGCTGCACACTGGACACCATAACCCACACCCCATGGCTCAACGACGTATAGCCAATCACCAATCAATGTAATTTCTACAATCCAATGACAATTCCTGACAACTTTGTATTGGCCCACTGCCTGCTCCCACATCTTTTGCCTTTAAAAACCTTCTTGTAACAAAGACAGAATGGAGCACTCCCCTCAAGGAAACCTGGAAATGTATCCTGGGAAGCTATCGTCAAACTTGACCCAAAAAACCTCTCCATATTAATTTTGCTTCTTCATTTTTATTTATTTATTTATTTGGTTGGTTTTTTTGAGCCAGGGTCTCATTCTGTCATCAGGTGAACACTGATATGGAAGGTTTACCACAGAACCTTTGGGAGAAAAAAAGTGTTTAAATATAAAAAGCATAGCCAGCCGGGCGCCTCACGCCTGTAATCCTAGCACTCTGGGAGGCCGAGGCGGGTGGATTGCTTGAGATCAGGAGTTTGAAACCAGCCTGAGCAAGAGCGAGACCCCGTCTCTACTATAAATAGAAAGAAACTAATTGGCCAACTAATATATATAGAAAAAATTAGCCGGGCATGGTGACACATGCCTGTGGTCCTAGCTACCCGGGAGGCTGAGGCAGGAGGATCGCTTGAGCCCAGGAGTTTGAGGTTGCTGTGAGCTAGGCTGATGCCACGGCACTCTAGACTGAGTAACAGAGCCTGGGTAACAGAGCGAGACTGTCTACACACACCAAAGGAATAAAAAAAGTAGGGAGGGTGGGACTACTTTAGCTTGGTGATCATAAGGATGGATGGCATCAGATTGCCTGGCTTACCCCAGGTCTGCTAAGGACAAGTTCTACAAAGCCTCAGTCTCCTTCTCTGCAAAAAATGGAGAAAACTACCTACTTCATAAAGTTGTTTTGATGATTAAAATAGATCACAAGGTATCACATTTACCATAGTGCCTTTTTTTTTTTTTAGACAAGAGTCTTGCTCTGTCACCCAGGCTGAATGCAGTGGGACCATCATAGCTCACTGCGGCCTCAAACTCCTAAGCTCACAGTGCCTTTTAAACACAAAATCTCAGAAGATGCTGGATTCTGGAATTAAGGCCACTGGATCTTATCAAAAACTGTTTACAAGAATTTGCAGGTGACAGAAGACTTTTAATTGGACTATTTTTCTATTATAAAGCCTTGCCATTGGGTTTTGCATCAATAAAGTCTATCCCCCTGCAATACACACACTTTACATCTTCAGTTTTCCTAACTTAGTAGCATTAAAATAGGACACACTCTTAACTATCAAACTGCAGAATTACATACCAAAAAATATTTACCTGCCTCTCAAAGTACACAAAGGTATTCTTGATTGTTTAACATTCAGAGTCAGAAAGGAACGGAATCATTTCCCTCAGAAAGTGGAATTTGGCAGCAACTGCAAAACCAGTGGGTGGGTTGCCATGGAGTGTGCTTAGATCCCACCACAGGGGGGACTGGGTGGGAACCATTCCTGGTTCCCGAAGAATTCCTTACAACAAAAGCTTACAACAGAAGTTGCCAAGCTTCACAGAGCAGGGGGCAAATGCTCCACCAAACCAAAGGCCTATTCTTATTCCAGAGATTTCAACACAGAATTTAAAAACACTTCCTTGGGGGGCCTGGTGACTCATGCCTGTAATCCTAGCAATCTGGGAGACCAGGCGAGTGGATAACTCAAGGTCAGGAGTTCGAAACTAGCCTGAGCAAGAGCAAGACCCATTTACTAAAAATAGTAAGAAATTAATTGGCCACTAATATATAGAAAAAATTACCGCCGGGCATCGGTGGGATGCCTGGCGCCCATGCCTGTAGGTCCCAGCTACTGGAGGGCTGAGCAGTAGGAAATTATTTGAGCCCAGGCAGTTTGGGTTGCTGTGAGCTAGGGCTGATGCCACGGCACTCACTAGCCTGGCAACAAAGGGGACTCTGTTCAAACAAAAAAAAAAAAAAAAAAAAAAGCAAAAAAAGAAACCATTTTACACTTCTCCAGGTCATCCCCACCAGCATAAACTTTAGCAGAGCCTGGGTGTCCTTTTAGAGACTTCTTATATCTAATCATGCCCTTCCCCTCCAGCTGATTCTTCATTGAGCTTCAAATCGTGGCTGAAGTGCCACCGCCTTCTAGAAGTCTTTCATACAAATCATTCCTGGGTAAAACACCACCCTGTCCTCCTACTCTTTCCCCACAGTGTGTACAAACCTCCTGCCAGAGCACTTATGCATGCCAAACAATTGCTTACTCACAGTACAATGGCTTCTTCACCCATCTCTAACTTCATCAGACAGTGAACTTTGGTTCTAAGGCACCACTGTCTGCATACTTCATAGTAAATAGCTGAAGTCTGACAGTCACTGAGAAGATACAACTTTATAGGTAAATATTATTCTCTTTTTAGAAATAAGGAAGCTGTGACTTAGGAAGTTAAACAACTGTCCCAAGGACTCAGACCTAGTTAATGGTAAGGTGGGCAGCCTCCTACTTTCGTCTTTGAGTCTCCAAAGCCCTGCACAGTGCCTGGCACAAATCAGAAGGCAAGAAGAGTTTGCTGCATAAAACATCACTGATTACTGTTCTGGGTCCAGGCTGTGTAGACCAGTAGTTCTATCAAGTGAGCACTGCTGAGCTGACTTTTATCTCTTAGTGTCAGTAGAACTGGACTAGCTTGACCACTGACTCCACCCTCCAGCACAGATCTTTGATTACTTAAACCTTTTCTATACATATACATAAAAAATTCCAAGGCATCACTCACTTTGGTAGCACATACACTAAGATTGGAACAATACAAAGAGATTGCGGTGTGTGTGAAATTCACCAAGTGTGCATTTAAGGAAATCCCTAGCAGGCTTTGATGCAGATCGGGAGATTGAATAGGTGTGTGGTGCGTGGAGTTAAGAAGTGTCTACGGTGGCAGAAATAGTGTGTGCGTGTAACGGTGATTGTGATTTTCTTCTTTATCCGTCCCAGGTGGGTGAAATGTACTTTTCCTAACCACTTCCCGGGGTGCCATGCAGAGTGGTATAACCAGTACCTGCTGTTGTGAAGGAAGTAGGGTGCGTAGAAGGAGAGGGCAATGAGGAATGACTAGGTATTAGTAATTCTACTGGCTAGCACACAAGGAGGCCTCAACCTATATTTCCTTAAAAAGCAGGCAGATCTTTTGATTTTCCAGAAATTTTTTTAAGAGATGAGGCTGTTGTCAGGCTGGACTGGATTCCTGGGTCTTAAAACATCTCCGTAGCATGGGACTACAGGTACCCCACCCCAGTTGAAAGATTGGGAACCGATAGAAAAATAGGACATAATTCTAAGGAGCAAGAGGTGAACAATTTTCCCTTAGTACTTGAGATAGTTTTGAGAACGAGGGAGAAAGGCAGGATTAACACATGAAAAAAGATTTGTCTTAAACTAAGCCCTTAGGGAAAAGAAAAATTTGAGAGTTGCTGGGGTGTGGGTGGCTCGGGTGCGCTGAATCCTAGCACTCTGCGAGCCGAGGGCGGGTGATCTTGGCTCAGTGAGTTTGAGAACAGCCTGAGCAGAAGAGCAAGGAACTGGTTTCTCTACTTATAATAGAGAATTAATTGGGCCACTAAAGAATATAGTGAATTAGCTGGATGTGGTGGTGATGGCCTGGTAGTCCCAGTGTGGGTGAAGATTGCTGTGTGAGGAGTTTGAGGTTGCTGTGAGCTAGGCTGATGCCCAGACTCTGCCTGGCACAGATGGACTCGTGTTCTCAAAAAAAAAAAAAAAAATTGAGAGTTGATTATTCCCCAAATCAAATGCTGGAACTGCTGTTCTGTAGCAGAGAGCAGCCTCAGGCCTGGAGGGCTGATCCAACACTCCTACCCCAGGGTCAAGAACGTGGAAGGGACCCAAGTGGGGAAGGGCTCCCTGGCAAGTGGAAATCCACACAGCAGAACCCAGCTGGCTTCTCTCTACTGCAATCTGCCTAAGGAGTTCCTGATCCTAGTGTCCCCTTCCCCCCGTTTAGACTTGTAAAGGGAAAGCCACAATCCAGCAGAAGGAAAAAAAGATATGCTGAGGCTCTGAGGGAGAACATACACCTCTAACTAAGCAAAGATTGACTCAGACTGACTCTTGAGATTAAATTCAAAAAGGACAAGCACTCCTC